AAAAGGTCCAAGCCAGCATACATGCTTTATTAAAATTTAGATCCCTGAGCCTCCTATTTTTATACCATTTCTATGACCCGATTGAGTTATAAGGTAAGCTCAAAAAGGAAACAAAAAAAAAAGCAATAGACTGCATCTTAGATAGTGATAGACTGCATCATATGGCATTTTTTATTTTGCTTTTAGTATCACTTTAACCCATTCATTTTGCATAGGCTGCCAACACTCCAGCAGACATAAAAATTAACCTGGCCCTTTTTAGGAACTAATAAATTCCACAAGGCTCCGTAACACACTATTACATGTATTGTGCAGTACTGTGCATTGCTGTCACATGTGCATTGCTCAGCTCACAAAGGTATGTACCAGGCCTGAACCCTTTGCAGTAATTTGAAAGAAGTGGAATTTAGTAGTAAATTAAAGTGATATTAACTGCTTCCGTGACGCCCTATAGCAGACAGGGCGGCACGGGGTGCGCAAAATCATGTATATATACGTGATTTTGCAGTTCCAGGTAGGGGGCGTGTGCACGCCGCGCCTTTACCCTGTCCGCACCGCTATTCGCGGCCTCGGATTTCTCGCCGCCACCCGGTGATTGCCGCGTATCTCTGATGGAGGAGAGACCTGTGTATAAACAACACAGATCTCTCCCCTGTCAGCTCCTGCACACTGCTTTATATGGCTCTGCACAGCAGAGCCATACAAAAGCAGTGTGCTTACAGCGGAAAGCACACACACAGCCAATATAGTAAAACAGCACACAGTTAACCCTTTGATCTCCCACATATTAGTACAGAGTCAGTTCTTTTTATTAGCACTGATCACTGTATTGGTGTCACTGGGGATGTCAGTGATAGTTAGTTATTCCCCCCCAGTGTCAGAATGCCTGCTGCAGTCCAGCTATAAGTCACTGATCGCTGCCATTACTAGTAAAAAAAAAAAAAAAAAATTCCAGTATCTATACTGCCATTTATAGACGCTATAACTTTCATGTTAACCAATTAATTTACATGTATTGGGATTTTTTTTTTAGCAAAGACATGTAGCAGAATACATTTTAGCCTAAGTTTATGATGAAATTTGATTTTTTAAATTTTTTTACTGGACATGTTTAATAGCAAAAAGTCAAAAATATTGTTTTTTCTCTCAAAATTGTCGGTCTTTTTTTTGTTTATAGCGCAAAATATAAAAAAAAGCGCACAGGTGATGAAATACCACTGAAGGAAAGCTCTATTTTGTGGGGAAAAAAAGGATGTAAATTTAATTTGGGTGCAGCATTGCATGACCGTGTACTTGTCATGTAAAATAACGCAGTGCCGTATTGCAAAATATTGCCTGCTCAGGAAGGGGGGTAAAACTTCTGGACGGCAAGTGGTTAAAGTCATAACCCTTATTAAAAAAAAAAACAAACAAACATGTTATACTTACCTGCTCATTGCAGTGGTTTTGTACAAAGCAGCCCTGATCCTCCTCTTCTCAGGTCATCCCACCAGCACTCCTGGCAGGAACCACAACCAATTCCCCCACCCCACTGCTGAGTGCCCCCTAGAGCAAGCTACTTGTTATGGGGGGGCACTTGAGCGCTCTTGCTGCTGAGCCCCCACTCTATGTGTCAATGGAATCCGTCTCGCCCTCTCCTTACTGGCTGTGATTGAAAGCAGTGGGAGCCAATGGCTCCTGCTGATATCCCTGAGCCAATGAGGAGGGAAAGAGCCAGGAGAGCCTCTGCCATCGTGCACATTACTGGATCGAGATGGGGATCAGTTAAGTATAGGGGGGGGCAGCTGCACACTAAAGATTTTTTGCATGCATGAATGTAAAATGCCTTCAGCCTTTAAAACCACTTTAAAAAAGAATTTCACAATACCATTTCTAAAATGGGTGGGAGTCTGGAAGATGCAAAGCAAGCAACTGTACATCAGTATGCAATACAGACTTCCTGTGATTTTGCAGAATTTTGTAATCATAGGCCTTCAACATAACACTCCAACAGGTCTCTCACTAGAGGGAGGAGCCTGATCAAGGTGTGGCTACCAGGCACCTACATTGTCCTGCCGGAAGGGGAAAAAAATGTCTGAGAGGCTGTAGTGCGACATACCAGAATAATGGTGGTCCTCCCGTGGGGGTACAAGTCCTGCGGGCCCTGTTGTGAATGGAGGAGAACGGGAAGTCTGCTCAGCTGGAGAAGAGTGGAAGGTGGACTCAGCCGGAGCTCACTGGATGTCGGGCTGTCATGTGATCAGCCGCAAGGGAGCAACGGGAGCTGGAGAAGCCGGCCTGCGTTTTTTGAATGAGGGAGACGCCGGCTTTCTCCTCTCTTACATGGGACTGATGCTACCAGGGATCGTTGGAAACGGGCTGCGGGAGCCCCCTTTGAAATTACCTGCCACGTGGAGGGACTACTGAAGGCAACAATCCCCAGGAGACACCACCTGAAGTCAACTCACTCGGAGTGAAGGAATAAGGAGACAAGAGGGTGAGTGAGAGTGGCAAGAGTACTGTAATCAGTGTATTGAATGGGGAATTGAACTGTGTTTTAAAGTTGAAGGGAAGCTCACTCAGAGGGTCTTAGAAGGAAAAAAAGAGTGGAAGGAGGACAATTTAAGGCAGATAAAGACCCTGAAGATCAGTGGACCCTGGCAAATGAGCTCAGGAGAGGGGGGAGAGAAAAAGAAGAATTTAAAGGATAGCATCTTTGAAGGATTATAATTTTTATATTAATATATAAATAACCCCCCAGCTCTGGGAAAATTTTAAACAGTCACTAACAGTATGAAAAACAAAGTGTCAAAGGGAGGAGGGCCTAAGGTTTCCCAAACAAGTTCAATTAAAAATATATACCCTCACAGGAGAAACAGACCCCAGAAAGACAACAGGGAATGTGCAAAAGTTCTAGCAAAAAGGCTGAAAGATCTAATGCCGGAGTGGATACCTATGGATCAGGTGGGTTTTATCCCAGGGAGGGAGGGCAGGGATAATGGATTAAGATCTTTACTTCTTATTCAAATAAGTAAAAGAGAAAAAGCCCCGTTTTGTCATTGTCTGTAGATAGTGAAAAAGCTTTTGATAAATTAGATTGGGGAGCTAGGCCCCAGAATGAGAGAATGGATAAAAAAGCTATATAGTCAACCCTCTGCTGCAATAAAGATCAATGGAGAAATATCCGAGTTCTTTAGGATGCAGAACGGGACACAACAGGGATGCCCCTTGTCACCTTTGTGGTTTGTCCTGTCCCTGGAATCTCTCCTAGCAAAAATAAGGGAAAATATAGATATAAAAGGGATTTGGATAGGGGAGATAGAGCATAAAGTAGCAGCCTACGTGGATGATATGCTGTTTTATGTGCGTAACCCTAGGATAACATTGCCTAATTTAATGAAAATATTGAAGGCATACGGGGAGTTATCAAATTTAAAAATTAATTCAACTAAAATGGAGATCTTAACCTTCCAATTAATGAGAAAAAAAATCTTACAAAAATAATTTCCCTTTGCTTGGAAGGAAAGAGAACTAAAATATCTGGGAATAAATGTAACCGCATCCTCAAAGAATTTATATAGAGCAAACTACATCCCATTATTAAATTAGATCAAGGATGAATTAAGGAAATTAGGGACAGGTAGTCAATCTTGGATAGGACGAATACATTTGGTAAAAATGGTAATTGTTCCAAAAATTTTGGTACAAGGTACATTTAGGGGGAATAAAAAACCTAGAATAAGCTATGAAGTTCTTATTAGCGATAAAGAGAATGGGGGATTGGGTGTTCCAGATTTTAAAAGATATTATAATTCAATAATGTTAGCACAAATTTTTGATTGGACACATAATGCACATGGGAAAAGTTGAATAAATATAGAAAATACACTAGGCGAAACACAATTAAGTAGGATAGTATGGTTACCACCTCATTATCGTGGATTGACAGATAACACAAGCATGTATACACTAAATGTATTAAAAATTTGGGCTACAGTGCACAAACAAATGGGATGGGAATTTAATTCTATGCTGATGCCTATAGTGGACACTGATTTCTTTCCGCCGGGGAATGAAAGTATTGCAGGGACATGGATAAAAAAAGGGAGATACACAATTAATGGACATAATGAAGGGCAAGGAAATCTGTCCCTTTTTGGAATTGAAAAATAAGAATGAGTTGTTCACTAGAGTTGATGAGTGGCATTATTTTCAATTAAAACATTTTATAGGAAAACTTCCCAGGCCCTTAAGAACAAAAGATGAGTGGAATCCATTTGAACATTTATTTAGTACACGGGGAGATGGGAAACATGGAACTTCTAAAATTTATAAAATAATCACTAAATTGACAATGGACACGGTTCCAGCATATATAGAGAAATGGGAAAGGGAGCTAGGAGCAACATTAGATGAGGAAAAGCAAAAGAAGATTTATAGATTAACAAATGGGAGTGTAAACATAAAGGAGGTGGAAATTAATTATAAATGTTTAGCAAGGTGGTATATTACACTGAGTGTAGCACACAGACAAGATAAGGATAATTCACCTATGTGTTGGCGTTGATGTGGGGAAAGGGGCAATGGTACACATTTGGTGGGAGTGTCATAAAATTCAGGAGTAATGGGAGGGAATAATTAATCAGATTCAGGAGGTAACCGGCATTAAAATTCCAAAAGATCCAGGGGTCTGTCTTCTACATGGAACTGAACTTACAGTAGAGAAGTATAAAAATTCTGGGTTATTTTATTTCATAAACCCTGCATAAGGATTGACACCTAAATTCTGGAAAGAACAAGAGGCACCAAAAATAAAGGATTGGATAGGAAAGGTGGACCAGACGTATAAAATGGAGATTTTGAAGATAAAAGATGAAGATAAAATGGAGATTTTCTGTAAAAAATGGGAGGACTTTAACCACTTCCCGACCGGCCGTTGTATATAAACGGCCGGACGGTGGCAGGGTCGGGTGGCGCGCAGCACCACGATCCGGCACCCACTGTGTCCTCCGGACACAGTGGAACACCGATCGTCGGATGGGACCTCTGTACGAGGTCCCGATCATGTGATCACTGATTGGCCAATCAGTGGTCACATGCAAAGTAGTAAGCAAGATGTCACTTCTAACATCATTGCTTACTACATGTGAAATCTGTGAATGATCACAGAGGTCACATGGTACAAGACTATTCACAACAGCTTTGTACCATGTGACAAGCTGTGACCAATCACAGCTCACTCAGTAGTTCTCAATGACTGCAAGAATGCAGACAGAGAGAAAGAGAAATGATTGCTTTTTTACATCCTATATGGTGACACTGTACTGCTAGGGTGACAGTATGTAAAAAAAAAAAAAAAAATAATAATATAAAAAAAAAATAAAAAAAAATGTAAAACAAAATGTTTAAAAATTATAATTTTGGTTATAAACTAATTTGGCTTATTTATTTTTTTTACTAAAAAGATAAGGGAATAAATTTTGGCTAAGATTTATGATGAAAGATTATTTATTTGCAAGATTTGATAAGAAAAACACTTTTTAAAAAAAAATTTTTTGGACATTTTCATTTACATAACAAAAAAAATAAAAATTCCAGCGGTGAATAAATACCACCAAAATAAAGTTTTATCTGTCTCAAAAAAATGGTAAAACATTCATATGGGTACAGTGTTGCTGTCAGGGATCGCGGCAACGAATGGCTCCGTGCATGCAAAGGGCGCCAATCCATTCTAGCTGGCAGACACTAGGACCTGGATGGCGGCGGCCGCTCATGCGCACTCGCGATCGCGGGCCGCTCGCTTGGCACCAATGGCAGGGAAAGGCGCACTATTTAAACCTGCCCTGCACCTACACTCATTGCCGTATGGTCTTATTCCTGTGTTCCTGTATTTCCGTTGTTTGAGATTCGTTGCTGACCTGCCTGGACCTGACCTCTGCTGACTTCTCCTGCTCTGACCCCTGGCTAAGTTTGACCTCTCTTTTGGATATCCTTACCTGATCTGAACTACTGGTACCGACCCCGGCGAGTGACCTGACTATTCTTCTGCCTGCTGCCTTGTACTACGCTGACCCCTCTGTTACCGACCTGGCCCGTTTGACAACGCTCATCCATCCATCCGGCACGGTTCCAGCCATCCCTGCTTCCGCCTTCTGCCTCTTCACGTCAGGCTCTCCATCTGCACAGACCCCCGGCGGATTCCTCTACCGCAGACGGGTGTACTCAGGGGGCCGCGACCTGGTTCCAGTCTGCTCCAAGTCCATCCCCACCATCAGGGGCCCTGGTGAACAAGCAGGCTGGGGCTTAGACTCCGCGCTCTGGGGAATCCTGTCCTGTGGGCTGCTAGAGGTACCGCCAGGCGGTTGCTAACAGTTGCAAGACCGCACAATTGTCATTCAAAGTGTGATAGCGCTGAAAGCTGAAAATTGCCCTGGTCAGGAAGGGGGTAAAAGTGTCCGGACTGGAAGTGGTTAAGAGATCAAGTCAATATGTGAATTTGGAGGAATAGGAAAAAAAGGATATGTTTAAAAAAAAAAAGATGAAAAGTAAGAGAAAATAGAAGATGAAATCCCTAGGACTCCCAAGAGAGGGGAAGGACGTAGAGTGGAAATAGTGAGGGGGGGGGGGGGGGGGAGATAGGGGGAGGTTGGGTTTTGTTTGGGGAGAGGATAAAAAGTGTATTTTGATTATGTATTTGAATGTTAAAAATAATATTTAATGGCAAGGAACCTTGTTTTTTTAATGTTGGAATAGTTGAAATTGAAAAGTAATAAAATATTAATTAAATAAATAAATAACACTCCAACAAAGCATGCAAGGTGACATGACAGTTGGAGACAGAATCTCTATTGATAAAAATCCCAAAAGTTGCTAATGCATCTTTTGGTATGATATAAAAGTAACTGCAAACACTTTGAATGTAAATGTATAACTCAAGGTCTCCAGACAAATCAATAAATTCTCACTTTATGTGGTGCCTACCGGAAAAAATTACAGAAGCCTCTACCAGAGAAAGAACAGTTTTAGCCTTATACTATAAAACTTCTTTAGTTGCATTTCTAATCAGTCTAGGGATTAAGAACTCTCTCAATTCAATAAAATCATTTTGTAACTAGATCCTGAAAGTTGTGCTAAATCATAGCAAATCCTTAATGGGCCACTGTAGCCCGACAATTTTTATTCCTCTTTAGATGCAAGATATTCAGCAAAAGTGGCAGTTGGGGAAAACCTATTATACTGACAGGCATGCTTACAACTGTCTGCTTTAATCCATGTGGTTTAAATATTTTTTCAAAAGGAAAATAAAAAAAAGGGTAGGCTCCTAGGCGCACACACACCTTATCGCACTCAATGGGTGGTATATGTACCTAAAAAAGAAGCCATCATCAGCACAGAATCCCCCTCACCCAATAATAATGTGCAGACATACCCCAAAGTACACAAAAATACCCCGACATGTATATTATTATTATTATACAGCATTTATATAGCGCCAAAAGTTTGCTCAGCGCTGTACATCATAATGGGAGACAGTACATGAGACAGTACAGTAACAATACAATGGGATACACCAGGGGTTCGAGGGCCCTGCTCCCTGGAGCTTACAATATGAGCAGTGGTGTCACTGTAGTACACATACTCATGGTCTTCCTGGCTGTCTGCTCATGCTTACTATGGAGCTTGATCCACCAAGCTGCCTGTGGCGGATCAGATGATCCAGATCAGGAGGCCGTGTCCATGTTGCTGATGATTAGTCCCACCCACTGACCCGATGCCCTGTACATCATGGAGAAAAAAAATGTGGTCACGTGACCTGCAGAACGATAACTTAAAAAAGTAATGTTGTCATTATTTTTTAAGTATATGCTGTACTAATTGTTTTCAAAGTTGATAAGAGAAAGCACCTCTTAGAGGCCACTGTGTGATAAACCAGTATACTGCTACCAGGCGTTGGTCTGCTACTAGAGCACAATTTACTCAGTAGTGGAACTATAAATGAAAGGCAAGACTGCTCACCATTGATGTGAACCACAGTAACATCACATACACTCCACCAACGTGTTTCACCCAACAGGGCTTAAGCATAGAGAAGGGTGGGGCTGTAGCTATTGGGTTTATATGCATCATGAGCCATAAACAAGTTTAAATTCTGCAATGTTGTGCTAACTGCTACTAATTTACTTTATCCTAATAGGGGTCAGAATATGTCTGGATTTACAAATGCTTTAATAAAACCGAGAAAACCAAGTTAATTTGCACACCAAACCATTGCAGACTTAAATTTTTTCCTGTAATCCTTTGAGAGTTGTAATGGGATCTTCAAGTTTCCTACCAGTTCAATCTACTGTTTCCTCAAAGTCATCTGCTGACACAGGAGCTCTCTACATATGGAGTTATATGAAAGTGAGCATATCTGACATTGCTTAGATGTGTGTTCATCCTACATTAAATTATCACTGGTCTGAAGGGATGAATTAGGAACATAAAATGCTGCAAGAATGTCATTATACACACACCTCCTTGTCTGACTTTCATCCCCCTACCCATACAGCATTTTTTGATGGCATGTGCTAAGGTAAAATAATAATTAGGACTGCTAAAAGTGACTTATTAACCACTTCAAGTCCAGACACTTTTACCCCCCTTCTTGTCCAGGCCAACTTTCAGTGCTATCACACTTTGAATGACAATTGTGCGGTCATGCAACACTGTACCCATATGAATTTTTTACCATTTTTTGAGACAGATAAAGCTTTATTTTGGTGGTATTTATTCACCACTGGGATTTTTATTTTTTTGCTATGTAAATGAAAATGTCCAAAAATTCTGAAAAAAGTGTTTTTCTTATAAAATTTAGCAAATAAATAATATTTCATCATAAATCTTGGCCAAAATGTATTCCGTTAGTAAAAAAAAAATAACCCAAATTAGTTTATAACCCAAAATTATAATTCTTAAACATTTTTTTTACATTTTTATTTTTTTTAGTTTAGTTTTTTTTTTTTTTTTTTTAACATACGTTCACCCTATCAGTACAGTGTCACCATGATACTACCATGTACTACTTGAGGGTGGTGATGAAGATTTTTATTTTTTTTACACTGATTGCTTTTACACCCATAAAGGCTGTTAAAGCAATAATTTCTCCTTCTCTCTGGCTGCATTCTTGCAGCCATTGAGAACTACTGTGTGAGCTGTGATTGGTCACAGCTTGTCACATGGTACAAGGCTGGTGGGAATAGCGTTGTACCATGTGACCTCTGTGATCATTCACAGATTTCACACGTAGTAAGCCATGATGTCAGAAGTGACATCTTGCTTACTACTCTGCATGTGATCACTGATTGGCCAAACCTCTGTGCAGGATCCCATACGACAATCGGTGTTCCACTGTGTCCAGAGGACACAGCGGGCACCGAATCGCGGTGCTGCACGCTCCCAGGGAGCGCGCACAAGCAGGGGGGCGGGGAGGCCATTTATAAATGGCCACCCGACCCTGCACTGCCACAGTCTGGCAGTTTATATACAATGGCCGGACGGGAGGTGGTTAAGAACTTAAATGGCAAGTATATACTTAAGTACATATAAAACACATCATAGAATTCAGCAAGGATAATTCTGTAGTAGAACAGTTTTATATTTTTATATATAAAAATAATCAACCCCCAAAGATTAGATTTTTCTTCATGTTTACTTGCCGTTACATGACTACCGCTGCAGCTTTTTCCTTTCCAAGGGTGGGAGTGGTCTATACCTTCTGGGATTTCCTCCCAACCCATCAATATCTCGCTGGCAACAATTTCTCTAGGGCAGGGGTCTCTGAACTATGGCCCTCCAGCTGTTACAGTACTACAAGTTCCATCATGCATCTGCTTCTGGGAGTCTTGCCTGTGGCTGTCAGAATTTTGCAAGGCCTCATGGGACTTGCAGTTCCTCAACACCTGGAAGGCCATAGTTTGGAGACTCCTGCTCTAGGGTTTGTAAAAGGCAACATAAGGACGTCAGTAATCTCAGTAATTGGGAGATGCAGATCAGAGAGTTAAATATGGGGCCATACATTTAGCTAAACGGTGTTACCATTGACAGCTTAGGATAGGAAATGCAACATATAGCAGGATCACCAGTTTAAAGTAGAACTAAAAGCAAAACTTTGTTTTCCCTGTTTTTGGATAAAGTAAAGGAGGGTTCTAACTCCTGTCAGATTTTTTTTGCCTTTGGGGAGATTTGCCTTCACTTCCTGTCCCATAACAGAGAAGAAGTGAGAGGAAATCCCTGCAAATTAAGAGAATCTCTTGGGGCCCCTCAGGCCACCAGAACTAGTGTCCCCATTGGAAATTATACTTTAATCCTCTTAAAGATTTATAAGTATAGCACCTATATTAGCACTGTTCAGATCCTGCAATGGGAGTGTACTGTGAATACCTTCATTACTGTGGGTGGAGTTCCACTTTACCACAAGAAGCTGCATATCTAAAGGGAAGGCAGCTATAATAGCCATATGCAATAGGTCAATATTTTAATATTCTCAATTCTGAACAGCTGCACATCAGTATGGTCATTACTTTCAACAGGAAATGGATCTTTAGTAATCAGTCTGAACAAGATACCTCTTGGGTGCTTTACATATGTATATACATGATTAATTATATGGTTGACTGCTTTACATATTTAAACAAATGTTAACAACAGACTGAGATCTTAAGATCTGAAAACAATTTAGGGGATGTGTCAATGGGGTTTTGTTTACTTCAAGCAGGTTTTGGAGTGCTCTCTAAAACTATGGGAATGCAAAACCTGCTTAAAGCAGGGCAAAAAAAAAGGTTAGAAGTCAATTGCAAGTCAAATGCACCTACTGTATCAATTAATCTGAATGATTCCAGAAGCATCTCAAATTAATGTCAATCTGATGCCACCGGCAATGCCCATTGACATAAGCCTTTACATATTTTTCTACAGTTTAAAGAGTCATTCTACTAAAAAATAATATCAGAATTAAAAAAGGAGTCTGAAAAATTCTATTTGTGAGATCTCCCTTCATATACATCAATGGGAACAATGTCTTACTGGCTATGTTACCACCTATGTTGGAGTAATATGTGCTCCAAACCCACCTTTAAATGTCCTTAGTCTTGAGGTTACATTTTACATATAAAATAAATGACAAACCCAACATGGGGAATGAGACACGTTTGTAGTGGCCAGGACAAACATGAAGACAAGGGAATGCCAAACCAAAGCTTGCTACCGTGTTTCCCCGAAAATAAGACACTGTCTTATATTTTTTTTGGCTCAAATAAACACACTAGGTCTTATTTTCGGGGTAGGTCTTATTTTTTAAATGTCCAGTTGTGGACAAGGGGTGCAGAGGTGAGCTGCAGGCAGTTGTGGATGAGGGTTACTATGGAGAGGGCCGGCTGATGACAGTTGTGAGCTGCAGTCAGGTGTTGCAGGGGAGACTTGACAGGTGAGTTTCAGACAGGGTGCAGATATGAGCCACAGACAGGGTGAACATGTGAGTTGCAGACAGGGAATGCAGAGCTGAGGTGTGGCCAGGGGGTGCAGAGCTGAGCTGTGGTGGGGGTGCAAAGGTGGGTTGCAACTCAGCTCGCCTCTGCACCCCTCCAGCCGCAGCTCACCTATGCACCCTGTCTGCAACTCACCTGACTCAATTTACCTCTGCAACACCTGACTGCAGCTCACGTTTGCACATCCCCCCTCCCCCTCCACTGCCTTCATATGGTTAGCTAGCTTTGCAAAACACAGCTATCAGCAGGCGGCCCCTCTCTATAAAAACTCCCGTTTGGGGTCCTATCTCCCCACACAGTGCACCAAGCACACTTACCGCTCTGCCTCTTCCCCACTGGCCGGTGATCACCCCTGGGGCATCGGCTTCCATGCATTAGGCTGCAGGAGGAAATGCCCCACCCCTAAACACACTGCATACTGCGCCCGCAGATATCTGTTCCTTCCCTGTCCCACAGTGAGTACAGAGGTAGGCAGATTCTGTGGGAGCGGATGGCGCTGTCACTTCCGCCACGTTTCTGTGTTTATAAAAGACAGTAGGTATGGGTGTGCACATGGCCAGTGCCGGAATGGCGTTCCGCCATGTTCCGGCTGAAAAAAAGCCCTGATCACAGCTAGGTCTTATTTTCGGGGTAGGTCTTATATTTTAGCAATTCCTCAAAATAGCACTAGGTCTTATTTTCAGGGTAGGTCTTATTTTAGGGGAAACAGGGTACTAGAAACCCAAAGAGATATCAAAAACCATTAAATGGTTTAAAGCTGGCTACAGTATACTGTATGTAAATGTGCATTATTTTCTTTTCATTCAACCAGCGGATTAAACAAAAAAAAAAAAAAAAAAAGATGGATCCCTACATCAACACAACAATGTATGATGCAGGGATTTATCCTGCTACTGTATTCTGACAGGTGGACTAACTGTTATTAGACTAGCTTCCATCGAACACACAAGGGTACACATGTATCCAAAGTTGGATGGTTCCTGCTGAAACAGCTGACTACCAGTATGTGTGTACCAAGCTTTGCTCTCCTATAGCCATAAAAAAAGTACAGATTTGGATGGACCATTTAAAATCAAACTCCAAGAAACTTGAAAATTCTCCCTTACATTGGGGATGGGCCCACACTACAAGGATTAACTGCTCATAAAAGTCTAGGGAGCATGGGAAACTAGATTTACTTACCTGATCCTCTGTGTTACTAGACTAGTCCCTGCTGCATCTTCTCCAATCACATGATTTTGCATGTGCGGGCTTGTTCATACCAGTTGCTATAAGCTGCATTAATCAACATTGATCAAAGCAGGCTTAACACAAGGGCACCTAGAAAACAAGTATTCTCTATGTGCCTTGTTCACACCATACATGTGCAGTGGTGTGTGTTGCATGGAAATGCAGCAAGTCTGTATTTATACGTAGCGCAAAACACATCAGTCATGGCACCACAATGCATTGTGACACACTGCAGTGCATAAAAATGTATTGCTTTTGTTTAACCTATAAATAATAAAGTTAAAAAAATGTGTGATGTCTTGTACCAACTCGTTACACTGCTCTCACACAATGCATCACACAGTGCATCATATGGAGCATAATGCAAATGGCTGATGTGAAGAGGCCCCCATGTTTAAAGTGGTTAAGTGAGAATTAATTTCTGAATTAAGGTAAAAAAACCTTCTGCAAAGAGCACCCCCCCAGCCCCCCCTTATACTTACCTGAGCCCAAATTTCAATCCAGTGATGTGCACGAGAACCGTAGCTCTCCCAGGTCTCTCCATCCTCATCAACTCAAACACAGCAGCAGGATCCATTGGCTCCCACTGCTATCAATTACAGCCATGGAGGAGGGAAACAGGGTGAGGGGCTAAGGCGTGCTTTATATGTCTTATGGACTCACAGAGCCATCTTGGGAGCGAGCATGCACAGGTGCCCCCAGAGCAAGCAGTTTGCTATGGTTGGCACTCGGCAGGAGGAAGAGCCAGGAATGCAGGTGGGGGACCCAAGAAGAGAAGGATCGCAGCTGCTCTGTGAAAACCCACTGCACAGGGCAGGTACGTCTGACATGTTTGTTATTTAAAAAAGAAAAAAAAAAAGTATAATTTACAATTACGTTAACTTCCCAAAATCTTCCATATATGAAATGTTTTGGGTTTAATGACTCCTTAGGTCTGTATATCTTGTGAACATTTTATCATACTTTCTAAAAAGTATAAGAGTTTACCTGTTCATGTGTGACGGGAATAAGTCTCTGTTTGGACAGCTCTCGTAGCGTATTCAGATCTGTCCTCATGTCAAGTTTACAGCCTACTAGAATGATTTTGGCACTTGGGCAGAACTCCTGAGTCTCTCCTTGCCACTGTGGAAACAAAACATCAACTCAATTAACATTCATTGACTGCGGGGTCGTAGCAACTCAGGTCACTGTTCTGCATTACCAGCCTTCTTTGGCTAAATACAAAAGTCATGTTATAGTGTAAATATATTCAGAAGAAAAAAAAAACCTACAGAAAGAATCAACAATCAAAAGTCCAATATAATATTTACAATTTTATATCATGGGGGCAAAAGAAAAGAAAAACATTTTATTTTGTTTGTAAAGGGTAATGCTAAGCAAACCTGGAA